AAAGCCATCAAACATCCGATCAAGAACAGCAGTTAGGTAGGCAAAGCCCTACTAAAAATCACATATCATCACGCCTTCACCATCAAAATGCCCACAGCAGGTCACCCCTATACCTTCTGGGTTCTTTGCAACGAACTCATCCGGCAAGCCTTGGTCGAAATAGTCGGCGAATTCAGCACCATCCCCTCGATCTACAGGACGGCCCGCAACCTGAGGGTCACGTCCACGGCTTTACTCACGCAAGCCGAAGAGCTTTACAAGCTCTATACATCTCCATTCCTCACCAGCCTGCAGCAGAGGGGAGAATTGCGGTACGTCGTCGGCGCGATCGTCATTGTCCTCTTCACCGGCTGCTTGGCTCTCCGCCAGGCCAGCCAAATTAACGAGACCTCGCGGTGGTATTGGGACGCGGAGTGTGCGGGTGTGGCCTTTAAACACGGCGAGTACTTCCTGGCCTTCTATGCTGCGCTTCTGTACTTGCTCAACGGTTGAATCCAAGGCTGTCCTTTGCGGCAGCAGGAGAGATAGAGGTGGGCTGGACCCATTGTGGACGGGAAGGTAAACTTGGAGTTTAGGAACGACCAATTACCTATGCATTTTGGTGTTATTTCTTTTTTCTTTGAAAATGTCCTGGTAAATTTGTGTCGAGTGAATTCATATGCCTTCTAGAGGTAGTTCGTGTTAGTTCAGGTATTAATCTTCTTGGATAGTGCCACGTACATCCAACGCATGCGAATTCAATCCAACCGTGATCCCTTCTGTATCTTGACCTTGTGCGCAATCACACAGTGTGCCAAAGGGATAATCATCCAGAATCCCATATAGGCCCTCACCATGCTTGAAATCACAGATATGACCGGTGACCCCAATTCCAACCGCATGGTCTCACAGTCCACGACCCCACTCACACCAATCGGGGCACCCAGCAATGCAACATCGACCAGGAGAGCCAGCGCCAAGTATTAGCCCCGCAGCTGATCGAGGTGTCTGGACGGCCAAGCACAACCTACGCTCACCACTCTCACCCTAGCCCGCACCATGCGAAAGTGATGAAAGTGGCGTTCACCAAACACATCACCACCAGACACATCCATCATTAGCGCGCCCAGCTAGCACTGCGGCGGGTAATCACACGTGGAAACCCCAACAAAATGGCGGACTCGATAACGCCATCCGGGCTGGCCGCTCGGCTGGCCCGCAAGCTGACCTTCAAACGGACCAAGCCGGCGCCCGAGGACGACGACGACAAGGGCGAGGAGGTCGACCCGACCAGCGTGGCGGGCGGCGGGCACAGCGCGCGGCGGACCGACATCACAGAGCACCAGCTGCGGGTGAGCGGCGCGCTCCAGGCCTTCCTGGCCAGCGAGCGCATCGTCTACCAGGGCGACACGACCGAGCTGCACAAGCTGCTCTCGGCGTCGCACATCGTGGTGCCGCCGCACGTCACGGACCGGTCGCACCCGCTGCCCGAGTACTTCATCAGCTCGAGCCACAACACGTACCTGCTCGCGCACCAGCTGTTTGGCGTGTCGTCGGCGAGCGCCTACGAGAACGCGCTCAAGGCCGGCGCGCGCTGCGTCGAGATCGACGCCTGGGACAACCCCGACGACCCGGCCGAGCCCAAGGTCACGCACGGGTACACGCTCGTGTCTAATATCAGCTTCCGCGCCGTGTGCGAGACCATCCGCGACGTGGTCGACCGCGAGGCCGGCGTAGAGTCCTGCGACCAGGGCTACACCGCCGCGCCCATCCTGCTGTCTCTTGAAAACCACTGCGGCGCCGCTGGGCAGCAGCGCTTGGTGGACATCATGCAGGAGGTATGGGGCCCGCGACTGCTCGACGCCGCCGTGCGCGAGGACAACGACGCGCATGCAACTCTCGCCGAACTCGGCTCAAAGATCGTACTAATCGTCGAGTACCACCTGCCTGACACCCCCTCTCCTCCCTCCAGCTCCTCCTCGTCCTCCTCCTCATCCTCCGACGGCGAAGAAGAAACTCTCGCCCGCCAAGACTACAAAGCCAAGCTCTCCTCCCTCCCGCCAACCACCATCATCCCCGCGCTCGCCTCGCTCGGCATCTACGCGCAGTCCGTCAAGCCGGCCGACGACTCATGGTACAACCCCGGCCCGACGCTGACCAACGGGCCGCACCACCACCTGATCAACGTCTCGGAGGCCGGCCTGACCGCGCACATGGTGGCCAGCAGCAGCGCCACGGGGCAGTCCACCGCCGCCATCGCGCGGCACAACGCGCACCACCTGATGCGCGTGTTCCCCAAGGGCACGCGCATCTCGTCGCGCAACCTCTCGCCGCTGCCCTTCTGGGCCATCGGCGCGCAGATCTGCGCGCTCAACTGGCAGACGTTTGGCGCGAGCATGCAGCTCAACGAAGCGCTGTTCGCCGGCACGGCCGGGTACGTGCTCAAGCCGGCGGCGCTGCGGACGGGCGGCGACGGCGTGGTGGTGGACGAGAAGCGGAAGAAGGTGCTGCGCCTGCGCGTGGTGGGCGTGACGGACCTGCCGCTGCCGCCGGGGCGGGAGGCGGATGCCGAGGTCAAGCCGTATGTGACGTGCTCGCTGCTGCGACCCGGGCGGGATGGGCGGTTGGTCGTGGACAAGCGCAAGACGGGCGTCTATCGGCAGCACAAGGTGCTGAGCTTCCTGCACGCCGGGGAGGACAAGAACCCGCCCGTGACGGACCCCGTGTGGGACGAGACGCTCGAGTGGGAGTTTGACGACAGCGAGCTGGTGTTTCTGCGCATCATGGTCAAGAGCGACGACAGCTTTGCGGCCAACCCCGTGTTTGCCGTCGCCGCGGTCCGGCTGCTGTATGTCGTGGGCGGGTGGCGGTTTATCCGGCTGCTAGATCTGAAGGGCCGGGAGACGACGTGTTCGTTGCTGGTCAGCTTCGAGATTGCGGATGCGATCCCAGGGCTGCTGGGGAAGGTTGCGGGTGCGCTGCTTGATTCACGCTGAGGGAAGGAGCGATTGCGTAATTATGTGTGATGCGGTTGAAAGTTTTCTCGAGGGTTCCATTAACGTTAGTTTCATTTCAAAAATATTGCAAAATGCGGCAATGGTTCCAAGTTTTGGTTTCATGCGCGTGCTAACAAAGCGATTATCAAGAGCCTTTATCAAGTGGCTTTGAAAAGAAAAAACCCAGGATCGATCAAACACCCTTTACTCACGATCCCGGCCCGCGATCTGGACGCGGGCTGCAATGACGACGGAGGCGGTGCAGCTTGGCGATGATGCCGAGTCTTGGCGCGCCATCCGGATCGTTTTCCTCGTGGGCTAGGGCCGTGTCAAAATGACACCCCACTAGGCCCCATCGGCCGGTAGCGCTTCGCCAGAACAGCCAGAGTGCCGGGCACGGGGTCCTATTGCGCCCAGCAGCGTGGCCAACTGGCCGTTCAATTGACAGTTCTGTTCGCTGGGGCCTTGGCTAGCGCGCCATCCCTGTCGCAATCTCGGGGCTGGCTTGTCTGCTTCGGGCATGGATTTCGCGCCCGCTTGGCAGCGTTCGGTTGCTACTTAATCTGATGATCCCCACGACCCGATGGCAAGGAAGTGCAAAACCTACTTTTTTTTTCAGCACGCGCTATCGCACAGTGCCAATCCACACTCCTTTCGCGTCTTGTCGTTGCTCGGCTGTGGCCGTTTTACACGACGGTTGCTGTTGGTGATCATTGCTTTCCACCGTTGGAACTTGGAGGCGTTTCCCTTTCTGGCGCGTTACACAATGAACGCTCTTCTTGGTATGTCGTGCCTTGGTTGCACCGAACGCAACTCCCACCCGATATTCAGCCACCAGCATCATCTCATCCCTTTTGCACCACAGCAACCGTAACCCCCTTTTCGACCACAACAGTGTTACAAACTAACACCCCGCTCCAGAACCCCGAGCCCGCGGCGGCTATGTCGACCCCAACTGGCCTCCCCCGTTTCCGCTGGGCAAGAACGAAGCCCCCGTCATCATCTACGGCTACACGCCCTCGTTCGCGCTGGCCATGCTCGGCGCGATCCTCTTCCTGCTCTTCACCGTCACGCACACGTACCAAGTGACGCGCTACCGCACGTGGTACTTTGCCAGCTTCCCCGTCGGCCTGGCCTTTGAGGTCGTCGGCTACATCGCGCGCATCCTCTCGGCCAAGAAGAACCCGTACAACCTCATCTACTTCATCATCCAGTACTTCTTCATCGTGGTCGCACCCGTGTGCCTGGCTGCCGGCGTCTACACCATCCTCTCGGCGCTGATCCACCGGCTCGGGCGGCAGCACTCGGTGCTCCCGCCGCGCGTCATCCTGTGGGTCTTCATCACGTCGGACGCCATCGCCACCGTCTGCCAGATCGCCGGCGCCGCCCTCATTGGCGTCAAGCAGACCCGCCGCGAGGACCCCGCCGTCGCCAACAACATCCTGCTCGGCGGCCTGGCCTACCAGGTCTTCGCCATGGGCGTCTTCATCGTCCTGACCGCCATCTTCATCGTGCGCGCGCGCGCCCAGATCGCCCAGCAGCGCCTCGGGGCCTTTGTCGCCGCCTTCTCCGCCGCCACGCTGCTGATCTATCTGCGTACGTGCTTCCGTCTGGCCGAGACGGCGGAAGGGCTGGGGGGTGACCTGAGCACCAAGGAGGTCTTCTTTGGCACGCTCGAGTTCATGCCGATTGTGTTGGCCGTGTTGTTGTTCACCGTGTGGCATCCCGGCCGGTGCGTGGGGAGGCACATCTCAGCCACCAAGGAGGAGGTCGCCGAGTATTCCCCATCCGCTTGACCGGGATATTCTTGGGAAGGGGTTTTGCGTTGTCCGTCTTATTAGAGACCGTTGCTCGTCAGTACATAGCGAGATATACCCATTGCACAATGACGATAATCGAATATTAGAAATCGAACCCTCGATTCTCGATTCCCTTCACAACCAACCCATGGTTGTGATCAGCAAAACGAAAAAAAAAAAAAAAAAAAGAATGGGAATCAGATCTGATGTCTGACGCCGGGAATTGAGCCCGACGTGGGGGTCGAACCCACAGCCTTGAGATTCAAGAGCCTGGGTCTGGAGGGAGCCAGGGGTGTTAAGAGTCTCACGCTCTACCGATTGAGCTAGCCGGGCTTGACGCCTTGTGTCCAATTGATTGAAGCTGGTTGCCGTTGTGGAGCGGAATTGTTGTTCATGTCAGTGGGTGAGTGGAGGCCCACTGTGGGACGAGGATCATCGTGGTTGTGTCTCTGAGGTTGTCCACTTGGCTTCACGAGTCAGGAGTGTAATTAGGACCGTTGCGTGCCCACCTGAACATCAATGGCATAGGTTGGCTGACCTCAGGAATACCTTGATACTGTAGGCAGTGATAATGCTTGGCGGGCTTTCTGGCTGTGGTCCAGAGCCACTTTGGGTTTGAGTCTTTGATACCGGTGTGAAAATCAAATGTCTTGAATGGGTGAACAGAAGCGTGATGGTTACCAGGCAAAAGGCAGTCTCGAGTTGGGACGTCGACTAGTAAAGCAGAGGATGGGAGCCAGGTTGAGAGGTAAAGACCTCAAGTCAAGATCCAGGTTAACTTGAACGATGACGTGGATTCGAAAATCAAGTGAAAACAGCTACCCCTGTTTCGCGTAATCGTGATTGACAATGCCCAGGGCCCGGTGCACATCTGCCGAATGCAACTTTACCGCACAAGCCCTTCCCCGCGTGCCGCCTCTGGCCATCGATTGGCTGCGAGACGCAACAATTACCCAACCGGGGGCCTGCGTGGTGTCGGCAAAATCAACCTGGCCAAATGCATAGGGTACTGCATCGTCGTCACTTGTCCGGCTCCCTCGAGACTGATGTGATTTCCAATCGAGGGAGTGCCACGGACCCACCCTTGTCTGAGGCGCTTGGATCGCACCTGCTGGCACTGCGCACGCGGAGCTGTCTTTCAATGGCCGACCCAAGGTTCCTCCTTCCCTCCCGCACCGGACAGTCAAGCGGTAGCGTGGCTGCCTTGGATGTGACCTTGACTTTGACTTCACCTCTGTCCGTCCCAGCCGAAGGCCGGCGAGATCTTGTCTTTCTCTGTGCTTTTGCGCCAAACACTTGAGGGGGCTTCCTCGCGACTTTCTTCTGGGCTCACGTACCTGAGTTAATAGGTGACGCGAAAGACGCAATGGAGATAGGTCAGTCACCAAAACGCCCTCTCGTCGTCCATGATAAACCTCCTCCTTCCCGAACCACGACCCGAACCCCAGCTAACAGCCCCCAGTCCTCCCCGCCGCCGCGGCCGCAACCGCCAGCGCGGCCGCGACGCTCGCCTACCTCGACGCCAAGCTGCACATGCGCAAAGACTTGCGCTGGATCCGGGGGCGGGCCAAGACCCGCAAGGCGTGGGCCCACGCGGTCAAGGACGAGCGCACCTCCATGTATTACTTTATCGAGACGCGGGCGGCCGAGCTGGGGGACGCCGAGGCCATCTGGTCGCGCGAGGGCAGCTACAGCTGGAATGAGCTGGTTGACCGGGCCCACCGCTACGCCAACTGGTTCCTCTCCCAGGGCGTGCAGCGCGGCGACCTGGTGGCCTTCTTCATGCTCAACTCGCCCGACTTCGTCTTCGCCTGGGTCGGGCTGTGGGCCATCGGCGCCGCGCCCGCCATGATCAACTACCACCTTGCCGGCGCCGCACTGACGCACTGCCTCTCGCTCAGCGACGCGAAGCTCGTGCTCATCGACGGCGACGACGCCGCGCGCGCCCGCGTCCTCGCCGTGCAGCCCGCCCTCACCGCCGCCAAGCCCGGCATGACCTTCCTCCAGCTCCCCACCGTCAAACCCGCCATCTACGCGCACCCGTCCACCCAGCCGGGCGCGGAGCTTCGCGCAGGCCTCAAGGCCAACGACCCGATGGCGCTCTTCTACACCAGCGGCACCACGGGCATGCCCAAGGGGTGCCCGCTGCCGGTGGTCGCGGCCTTTGCGCACGGCAACGGCACGGCCTGCGGGATCAACCCCATCGGACCCCGGCGGCAGCGCTACTACGTCTGCATGCCTTACTACCACGGAACGGGGGGCATCAACGCCATGGCGCAGCTCATGTGCGGCAACACGCTGTGCGTGGCGCCGCGGTTCAGCGCGTCGGGCTTCTGGCCCGACATCCGCGAGTCGCGCGCCACGTGGTTCGTCTACGTGGGCGAGACGCTGCGCTACCTGCTCGCGGCGCCGCCGTCGGCCGACGACAAGCGGCACGGGGTGGTAGGCATCTACGGGAACGGGCTGCGTCCGGACGTGTGGCAGCGGTTCCGCGACAGGTTCGGGATCGAGACGGTGTGGGAGTTCTTCAACAGCACCGAGGGCATGCTGGCGCTCGACAACGAGAGCAGGAACGACTACACGGCGCACGCGGTGGGGCACCATGGGTGGCTGCAGCGGTGGAAGTATCATCGGTATTACGTACCGGTGGCGGTGGATGCCGACACGGGCGACATCGCGCGAGACCCGAAGACGGGTTTCGCGTACCGCATGCCGTATGAGGTTGGTGGGGAGATCCTGGTCCAGGTGCCATTTGAGAGGGCGTTTCCGGGCTACTGGAAGGACCCGGCGGCGTCGGCGGGCAAGTTCGTGACAGATGTGTTTAAGAAGGGGGACTGTTATTATCGGACAGGAGATGCGCTGAGGAGGGATGGGGAAGGGAGATGGTTCTTTCTCGACAGGTAATTAACGAGGACTGTGTGGTGATGTTGGCGGTGGTGATTGGCTCGGACGATGCTGACTGACGGGTGCGCAGACTCGGGGATACCTTCCGGTGGAAAGGCGAAAACGTCTCGACGGCCGAGGTGTCGGAAGTGCTGGGCAAGTACCCCGGTGTTCTCGACGCCAACGTCTACGGTGTCGAGGTTCCCGGTCACGATGGCAAGGCTGGCACGGCGGCCATCTACATCGATCCGGCTGTGCAGCACACGTTTGATCACGAGGAGTTTCTACGGTGTGTTTTCCCCCCTGACAGAGTCCACTGCCCATGCGTGTCACCAAACCAAAACATGCGGCGCAACTCGGAATCAATGGCTGACATCGCATTCCACAAGGCACGTTCGGACTCATCTTCCCAAATACGCCGTCCCCATGTTCCTGCGCCACGTGGAGGCCCCCTCGTCCACGCACAACAACAAGCAGAACAAGCTGCCCCTTAAGCGCGAGGGCGTCGATCCCGAGAAGGTGAAGGCGGGCGACAAGGTCTTTTGGGTCAACGGGCTGGGAAAGGGCCACACGTACATTCCCTTTACGAGGCAGGACTGGGAGGACCTGCATGTCGGCAAGGCCAAGCTGTAGACGACTGACGGTGTCACGGGCGTTTGATCCTGCGCGAACACGCGGCTTTGGAGAGGATGAAGGATAGGTAGATAGGGGAAAGATGGGCCGTGCCGGTAGAGGGCATTTGTTGACATGGCAAGCGGGGGAAATCAATCGAGATGTGTGGTAGAGAGTGGGAGGTGCCTGAATAGTGGGTGTTTGGTGCGGTAATTGTAACTTGACCTGTGAGATTGAATTGCGGCGTTGTGCCGCCAATGTAGGTAAAAGGATGCCGATGGAATTCGTGTGTGAGCAGGAATGTGAATGCGACGGTGGTGTTGCGATGTGCAGTCCCTGACACAACTCCGGCGGTGATTATTCTAGAGCAACACTCGACGAGAGCCCGAAACCGTGGAGGAGCGAAAGGAGCTTGAAGCAGTACAGGCATCGTGCTGCAGTGTATTGACAGCCTGGAAGGATCGTGGTTGAGGGAGATGCGACACGTGCCAGCAGCAGCACGTCAGACCCAGGCCCTGGACCGACGCCGCCCGACTCAGGGGGGTTACATCGGGACCTTCCTTCGGTAATACTCCGTGGGTAGGGATTGTACTGTGTAAGAGACACAACAACTCCCCATTGCGGCCCGGCTTCGTGTTGGACAGCTCGTACCTGGGCCGCGGACTGTGATTGGCGAGGCACTGGGAAATGCGATACAGCTCCCAGAAAGTCCCCCCGTCTCTTGTCTGATGGGGAGCGCTGGTTTTGGTTCCCAACACGCATTGATCGAAACAATTTGCCTACCGACAACGTTAGATTATTGACCTATAGGGTTTGCTATGCTGGTTGTCGCGCGTGAGGGTATTTGAAATGCTTGGTTGATATTGTGGATTCAGGGGGGCTGCGAAAGCACACTACCTATGCCATCTACCTGTTATTCCAGCACACACGCGCTGGACACCTGTCGGTTCAGGTTGGCTCGCACTCACGCTGGTTGTGTCGAACACCGCACTGGAATCAAGCAGAGGCGCAGTCGACCAACGCCGCAAGGAACGCGACCGGGGAATCGCTAATTAACCCGAACGCAGAGAACACTTTATCCTTCGGCGGCCGCGGCTCTGTGCTTGCATCGAGCGTTGTGCGTGCCGCACTCGACGCTGGCCCAACGGCCCTGACCCAGGATGGGATGAAGCCATGTGCGTGCGACGAAACTTGATGGGATGGGATCGTGTGGGGTAATTCTAGTGTAGTGTAGTGTAGTGTAGTGTACCTGCGGCATGTGTGGGAGTTGTGCTACCCGTCAGCCGATCACAACGCCCCGCCGATTTGCTGCTGGGATTTTTACTGCCGTAAATCATCGCCTGGGACATGGGACCCTGATCCCCGTGGCGATCAAACGGGACAGGTGGCGTGCGTCGAAGTTAGGTTGACTTTCGTTCAACTGCCTTTTTGCATGGCTTTTGGTTGATGCAATGCTGTGTTTTTGGAATGTTGGTGAGTTGGGCATTGTCTGCAGCTCTTGAAGAGTGTTGTTTGCATGCTGCATTTGTTTTTCTACAGAAATAGAACTGATGGTCGATATCGTATTACTACCGTATGTCGTGGACATGTTGGAGCGCAAATAAGGTACTGACTAGCGCTAGCGCGGCCGATCTTTGTTGACGTTCCACATCAGGATCCCCAGCCGGGGGCCGACCGACGACAACCCCCTTTCCAGGAAGAAAAAAAAAAATACGAGCAAAGTACCGCTTGCCCACAAAACACACACAAAACTACCTGCCACCGCCAACAAGGTGGCGAATGGGGGCGACACGGCACAAGTTCCGCGAAAGAAAAAAACCTGTGCCCCGATTTGTGTG